TGTTTGTTGCTGTTAGTGTCTGGCGTAAAGAAATATTAATTAAAAGGTTACGAGATTAGGTTCGTGGACCGCCATTTTGTGCGTTTGATTGATGGGTTTTTGAAGGCTAGTTTTTTTCTGTAATGGCGCAAAGGGGATGTTTGTTAATATGTAATCTCTATGAAAATTCTAATAATGAATTATTTTCAGTTTCTTCGGACATTCATTGTTACCAATTAACTGAAACTATTTGTTTTTAAAATCATTTCAAATATTCAACGCTTTTGAACTGTAATTAACACGTTGAGTGCCGCACGATTTTTCCGAGAAAAATATACAAAATGAAAATAATCTAGTATCAAATTGTGTAATTGAAATGTGTTATTATTACTGCAGTTTTATCTTGTTGAATGTCACTGCATTAGGTAGTATTACTATTAATATAGAAAAGTTTCCAAATAATCATCGTTTAATTGAATAAATCATAGTAATCCATGGCATGCAATATGTTAAGAAAACTGAAACCAGTAATCTTGACCGGTATGGTAGTATTAAATTCGTTGTCTGCATCACAGGTATTTAAATGTGAAATTATATTGTACAGAAGATACAGTTTTCTGGAAGACAAAAATGGAGGTATTGGAATATAATGGTAATCAGTTGTTTAAGGAGAATGTTGGAAGTGATATTATATTGTGAAAGTATTAGTAGGTAATTATTCTGGTGAATTAATTTGACAGGATGTTACGAATTACTCGTCGGCACGTTTTAGTGACTTTCTCTTTGGTGTTTATGCGAAGGAAGGAGGAAGTTCGATCGGAGAACGCGTTCGAGAAAAATTTTCGTTGTACCCACGGATGTCCATGCACGATTTGTAGAACATCTTCGCCTTCAGGGTGGCATTGTTGTCCTCGTTATTCGGCGGCTCCTCGAGGACTCGTTTCAGACTCACTTGAAGCTGATCAGCGAGGACCTCGAACGTGCTGATGGAACTTCTGTCTTCCGGTATCACGTGCAGCTGGTTCCAAGCGCCGCAGGCGTATTGAAAGAAATTCACGCAAGGCGCTGCGGTACGGTCCATCGCTGATAATAAACTTGCCGCTGAAATAAGCGTGTAATTGACTTGATAAATCATTGGAATTTGGCTTGACAATTGACTTGATTATTGACTCCAAAATTGAGTTGAAAATTGATTTGAAAATTGACTTGGCAATTGATTTGACAATTGACTTGACAATTGACTCGAAAATTAACTCGAAAATTGACTTGTAACTTAATTCGAAGCGTACCACTACCAGCTTATTAAACTATCCTACTGTTTCAATCAAATTAAACAAAAGTTTATTACTGAACATATAATATTATGGCTAAACTGTGGATCTTTAGATCTGTAATTTTTACAGACTATTTTATAGAAATCGAAACTTAATCTTCAATCAAAATTTCGAAATTTCATTAATTTCTATTTCACTTTCGATGGATTCATTAGTGCCACCCGGTGAATTATACAGTCCGTTAATATATGGATGGCAGAACCGAGTGAAATGGGGCTCGCTGTGATCTCAGGATTAATTACAGATAACGGGATCACGTGCTCTAATGACAAAATGTAATTATAAAATCAGGCCATTTATTTTGCCATCAAATGAAACCAATCAATTTTGGCAAGAAGCATTTAATTCAACTCGAATTTATAAATCGACAACAGCTTCTTTACTTTCTGTAATGGATTTCAATTAAATAAATTACGAAACATCCATTCCCCTTGCGAGATATATTTTTCGAGATTTTTTTAATCATTGCCTGGCAAAAAGGAAGTCGATTAAACCTCTCTCAACTATTTTTCACGTGAAGCAACGTCAAGTTCGCGCTACGCGAAAACGTGTTTTTCTTTCGCCATATTGTGTGTCGGATAATTCATTTTCTTTTTTATGCTTCAACGTACGAACACGTACACGCAGACTTTTTGCATACCTTCGCACGTTGTTCCTCCGCAATTTTAAAATTCAGGTCGAGCACACCGTTCTCCTCCGCCTTTTTCGCGTAGAATTCGAGCTTAATTAATGCTCTTCATTCACCGCCGGCCGGTTTTTTACGTTTAATACCCTTGATAATAATTATTAACATACGATGCTCCGTATAGAAATATTAATACGAACAATTCGCCACGTTTCGTATCCCCCGAATTGCATTCGTCACGAAAGAGAAGTTTTATAAGAACTTTTTCATCATTTTTACATTGTTACCCGAGCCTTTTCATTTTGCGAACAAAACCGATTAATTTAAATTTAACATCACACTGTTTCTTCATTGATTTTCCTTTACTGTTTTAATATTAATTTTGCATTACATTAGAATTTGAGTATAAACGATCGTTATTGTTATATGTATGAAGATTGATTAAAATACGTTCTAATTCTGCGAACAAAACAGATTAATTTAATTTAACTTTATCTTGAAATCAATATTGATTTTCCTTTACTATTTTAATGTTAAGTTTGCATTCAGTTTAAACGAACATCATTAAATTTATGAAAATTAAAGAAACATTGTAATCAAGCTTATGACAATCAAATGAGCATTATTGTTAAAATGAAAAACAAATTGCCTGAAGCATCTTCTAATTTAACAACTGTAATTCCATTAATCACACGAATTCATAAGAAATGACACAAAAAGCTTCCTAAAACGTTTGAATATCATTCGATCATGGTTTTCTATTGCCAGCTATGGTAAAATGTTCAAATCCAAGCTCGATAAGCGAAACGAAAAGTTCCGAAATCAATTTCGTCGATATTTTCCGGCAGCGGAAAAAATTGTGGATCGTTTACCTTCGTCGCTATTGAAAGCATTGGCTTATCAGGCGCGAACGAAAAATACACGGGACACCGAATATTCGGCACGGTACGGGGACGCAATCAGATTGGCGAAAACTGATTACTGGTCGCCGGGAATTGCATTCCCGCCCCATGACGAACGGCCACCGCCGTTGAAATCGGATTAACCGATCCCTGTGGAATTGCTTGTTGACCGAGGACCGCAGATCCGCGGTGTCGCGATTCGATTTTCGATCTCGCGAACAGTTCGGTTCGCTAACAATCTTGCGAGGGGCGAATTCATCCCCTTAACCCTTTGCACTTCGAGTTCCTTTCGCAGTTCTTTCTCTCGACAATTCTGTATCATTGGAAATGTTTTATTTGAAATACACTTTGAAAAATAGTTAGTCTACAGAAAGCAGCGCAAAGAATTCTTTTTATTAATAATATTGAAAACAGCATAACGATATATTGTACTTGAAAAATGTCTTGATTGAAAAGCACACCTGCAAATAAAACTGATGTCGAGTCACGCTTGGTTGTTCGATTGTTCTATTTTTCTGAATGTGTGATTAATGGCGATGAATTTTTTAGTGAACTGATTTTTGTAATTGACAGGCAATCTAAATTATAGAATTACAAGAACGTAAATTTTAATAATTTCGATTCGAGTAACATGAATTTTAATCATTTCAGTTTCGATAACTTGAATTTCAATTATTCCGATTTCAATCATTTCAATTTTAATCATTTGAATTCTGATAACTTGAATTCGATTCAATTTCGATATTACTATTTCAATCTGTTCGATTTTAGTAATTCTAATTTTAATAACTTGAATTCCAATGAATTCAGTTTCAATCACTTGTATTTCAAACATTTTGGTTTCAATAGTTTTAATTTTAATAACTTGAATTCCAATGACTTCTTCAAATATAATTTATTTCGACCGAAAGACAATGTAAAACATTGTATATTTTGTACATTTTTGAAAAGAATATTTCATTTTATTTCCGATCGGATTAAATGAAATGCAATTCCCAAAGGGTTAATCGCTCGACCAATTGGAAACACGTGATTCATGCTCGCCATTATTTATTTCCGCGAAATATTGCAGCTCTGATTACTGCGCTATCTAATCTGATTTTATTATTTATTGGATAAGCCAATGTGCTTCAATTCGTTTTCCCAAATAAATTCCATCATATAATATACAAATCCAATATCTTTTCCCAAATAAATTTAATTCTTCGACAGCGACTCCAATTCCAAAGCTCAGTACAATAAAACGTTCAAATAAAAAAACTACAATTTCAGTCGATTTCAATCTCTATAAAATATTATCTGCATAATGGACTACTTGGTTAGCTGATCATCAAACCTCTATGTATAAAAATAAATATATTTAACACTAAAACTACTAGAATAATCGAAATCACTCATTCCTGATTTCCTCATGTTGCAATTATTAAAAAGATAACAGACGTTTCTACGAGAAATTATTAAAGAAATTGAGTTAGCAATACGAGAACTGAATTGCAAATCAATTAAAGTCACAATCAATTAGATGCACCCTTTCTATAAAAAAATTTCAACAAGTCAATTTGATCTGGTAGTTTCAGTGTTAATCAAAATAATTTCTAGATGGTTTCTCACAGTTTTCCAACAGTTAAATAATTGATTGTCTCTCGTTTGTAAAAGTCAATTGCTCGCTAACGTTCCTTCGATAAGATTTTATTTACTTCAGATAAAGAGACACATGCTGTTCGAATAAAATTAATCGTTTTACCTGTTCTGACGCACTCCTCCGTCATGCAGACGTTCGGACCTGCAAGAAAAACAATGTTTCTATCCAGTGGCAGCATTCAAGTCGCCAAACAAAAAAGTAAACATGGAAATTTCGACGGTTACAGAAACAATTCGCGTGAAACTGTTTCTTAGGCGCGAAAATGTTCATGGCCGCCTGTGCTGCTTGACACAAAGCGCCATTGTTACGGTGTTTTGCGTCTTCGTAGTTGCAGAAGATGCTACCGTGTGGCGTGGCCTTCTGGTTGACAAGGGAACAGATGGGCCACATTGATGTCCCACGAAATACAATGTACAGTTTGTCCTGGCAATCTATTTATAGATCGATTTCGTAATAATTTTCTTAATAATTGCAAGTATTATTGGGTCAGTTTGGAAATGAATGTGGTTATTTTATGTAAACTGGTTTTAATCTGAAATATATTCTCCTTGATTATCTATAAATTGTCTACCTATAATTATCGTGATTATTTTTAAAACAGTTCTGTGTGTGTTTATTCTTATTTTTTAAAATAAAAGAAATATAAATAAAAATTTAAAAGACTGCCCAAGAAAATATAAAACTGTCAACTAAAATATTTCAAAAGACAAATCATTTCAATTCGTGTCGTCTTTTCTTTCAAAACAGAAAACGGTCGATTGAAATTCAAAGATTTTTAACGGACCACTCACTTATCACTCGTTTCGTTTTTAAATATAAAATATAAAGAAGACTATAAGTAATAATATTAATATAAAATATAATGAAGATTATATTTAAAATATAAAAGGGTTCATTTTTAAAAGAACAATTTAGCACTTCCACAAGAAAGTATGAAAGAAAATCCACGTCCATCTCGACGGGAGCAATAACGTTCGATAATAGTTTATCTAATGGAACACTTAAAGGATAATATAAATATATTACAATCTCATTTCGCCGAGCGCTTATGGGCGTCGGTGATTCGATTAATTCTGCCGGTGGCTATGAGGTAATACGGCGAAGCGGGCCTTTTCGAGTGGAACTTGATAGCCTCGACTCAATTCGATTCGATTCGGCTGATCGATGTTCGTTTCTGACGCGAACGTGAACCTCTTTCTGCTCGCAATTTTCGTGCTTCACGTTTTTACGACGCCCCGACGTGTCGGGGGAAAAATGTTATGTCGAGAGAGATCCCGGCGAATAACCATAAAAGAGAGAACTTCTTTCAATTTTCTTTTTGGAAATGCAAAAGATAATACAGCGTACTCGTACTGTTCAAAATTGAAGAATATTTCTCAACAGAGCAAACCAGTTGTATTAATTCGCAGAGAAAAATTGTAATATCATTTAAAAAGTATTCACTGTTTAAAAAGTAACAAAGCAATAATTATTATGTGGAGAATTGTATAATGTCAATTGTGATTATAATTATCTTGTCTTATGAATTTAGTTCTGAATTTAATTTTGGAATTTTTAGAGAAATAAAGTGAAAGAGAGGATTCATTTTTTAAATAGCTTTTTGATTGCGAATGTTATTTAATTGGTTGATAAAAGTTGAAGATCATACTGGTAATCAGTACGCTTTTTATTAAGCCATTGTGGTCTGTGACGCGTTAAGAGAGGATGAGAATTGTGAAAGATATTAAGTGATCAATAATGGTATTAGAAAATGTAAAGAAATAATAAAGTTTTATTGAATCATCATTCTGCCAGCAGGGTTCTAAGGATGAATTGAGACTATTCTACTTCAATGTTAGATCTAACCTGAGTTCATATTGTTACGTTATTAAGACTTGTGATCTAATAAAAATTGTCAGATGTGAACTACTTTGTAAACGAATTAAACTAGTCGGTTTAACTGCTTCGGTGGTTTTATTTGCTCAATTTCTGACACTTTAATCATCTATATTATACCATCGTAGCGATTATCCTTTTGACAATTTTTCTTATTTCAATTCATTCGTTTCTTATTTTATTCCTGTAATATATAAATATGGGTGGTTCTATTTTTAATGGACACTCCTTGAGTGAAAAATGAGTATTACGAATATCTAGACTAATTTTAAGTAGAAAAAAATAACCCCTCCTTCGTTTCTATTTTCTGTTCTGAAAAATGAGATTCTACGCAGAGATCGGTAGACTGTTCATATCTATTCCTGTCTAGTAATAAATAGTATCTACTATATAGGGCGTGCTGGAAATGTGAAGCACTCTCTCGTAGAATTGAATCAATAAAATTCGTATTCCTCTATGTTATTCCCTTTTTTTATCAATCCACTTTTTCATGAATATTTCTACGAACTCTTGCTATGCTATACATAATTTATTCTAAAAAAACATCGTTACCATTATTCTACCACAGTTCCATCTATAAAACCCAGAATAAATCATGTCTCATATTTTGAAAATGAATCTACTCCAAAATTAAAGCAAAGAAGAATTATGACTCTTTTTGGAACGTCCTATATATTAATTCCACTCTACTCTGATAACCAGAATCTGACTTTCTCAGCCGCCGATTATCGTGCAACTGAAATTACTTAAAGCAAAAAGAAAAGAAAAAGGAAGACTCTGATATTAATCTTGGACCACACTATACATCCACTCTACTCCACTCCAACAACCAGCATCTAACTTTCTCAGTTACCAATTATCATGCAAACGAAATTACTCAAAACAAAAAGAAAAATTCACATCAATTTTGGTCCACCCTATACATTAATTCCATTCCACTCTAATAACTAGTGTCTGACTTTCTCGGCCACCAATTATCATGCAAACGAAATTACTCAAAACAAAAAGACAAATTATTACATCAATCTTGGACCACCCTGTACAATAATTCCAGTCTAACAACCAGCATCTGACTTTCTCAGCCACCAATTACCATGCAAACGAAATTACTCAAAACAAAAAGAAAAATTAAGACATCAATTTTGGACCACCCTGTACATCGATTCCACTCCACTCCAATAACCAGTGTCTGACATCGCAGCCGCCGATCCGAGCCGTCTAATTCTATCTCATTCTACTATAACGGTGACACCTAACCGGCCCACGCGTCAACGTCTGATCCTCTAATACCCTAACGGCCGTCCATACAGTCGTACCCTAACACCTAGCCCATTACTAGAAAGACGCGTCCAATCGGCCGACCGGCCAATTAAACCGGATCGCCGGTAACCGGGCACCGTTTAGGGTTAATTCAACTTACGGGGCTCCTGCACGCACTCGCCGCTCGTGTTCAGCGCCAGCAGCAGAAGAATGAAAAGGCAATTGGCGAGGAGTGTGACGGCTAGCACACCGAGCAATTGCTGCCTGTTGACCGGCTCTCTCCATCTGCGCGTGATCGACGCGGCCCTCGCCATGCCGCTGATCGGCCTCCGATCGTTTCCAGGATGATGGAGAGCCGTGATCGTGGTGTTGCCATGTGGCACGTAAGTCACCTGTAACGACAATTCCATCTTCGGTGGAATAGGAGCAAAAGGAACATCCTTTAGCTACTGGGTTCGGTGATCTGATGGGACATCAGTAGATTTGGGGATTTTCTATGATCTGTTGATCGCTGTGGTTTATGGGGATAATGAGGATTGAAGATTTTGGGGAATTCGGTTGGTTTCGTGTTGCTATTTTTATGGTGGAGCTAATTGGGAAGGTGTAGGTGAGAATTCTGGGATTGGCTGCAAGCTTTGGAACAGAGACATGAGAATTCTTGTGATCTGTCTGTAGTTTGTTAATTATTGGAGATGATAAAGGATGACAGGGCTATGTTGGACTTTAGCTACTGGGTTTAGTGATCTGATGGGACATCAGCAGGTTTGGGGATGTTTCGTCGAT